ACTTTCTTGCTGCCAGAGAAGTGTCCAGACAACAGATAAGTCTTATCCTGCTGCAAGTAAGCTGGAGAATTGCTCCAGTTTCATAGAATGAAAAGTCGCCATTTTGTTGCTACCACACCCACATCAGTGAAAATATTTCATCAGAATACTACCGCATTAGATCATTGACATTTAAATAGATAGTAGTGCACACATTGGGTGTGACCAGAATAGGCATGACTGAAGATGTATGTACATACATACATACATACATAAAGAAGAGTCTCGCTTAAGTGGGGCTTGCTTTTGCTCACCCCAATTAGCCTCAGATGAAAGTATTAGTACCCGCCCTCAAATAGTACTTGTCTTCGAATAATAGCCTAATATTATCTTTCCTGAAATTAATAGTAACTGTGGGGTCTATTTGAGGAAATACGATATGTATATGACATACCATGCCAGTGATGTATATATGGCCTATATACGACCCAAACCCGAGGGTCGTATATAAGCCATATACATTATACCGGCGTGGTAGATTAGATTTATTATCTAAGGAAGCCACACCTCAAATTTATATGGAGCACGTGTCTGAAACGTACTGAGCATGCGCAGCAGGGGTCACATGGCATAAGCAAATTAAATTGCTGAGAGCAAAGATCCAAGTATATTAAAGAAACACAGAGTTCCTTAGTCTTTTAAAGGCAGGAGTCAGGAGGAAAGAGTTGCTACTGTGTCTAAGGAGGTCTTTATCATTGGCAAGACACAAATGACCAAAAACAGCAAGAACACAGACAGTACTTGTCGGCCGCCCACTACTCAGCCTCCACTGACAAGAATTAACTTACTCCCAAGTCCCAACTGTTCAAAGGAGTTACTGGCCTTGTGTTTATGCAAATGACACTCTTAACTAGAGCGATAAGCCATACCCACCTACAATCCAGTCACTTCTCTCTGGAAATGTTCATCACATGAGCCGGAACCTTATAGTGTGTTCACACTACCTCCCCAACTGTACCAAACTGTACCTAATTCGATTAGTTTGGTTGTAAAAGAACCATGTTGGTAGCAGTTCACACTACAAAAGTATTAATAGGGGTTTAACAATCAAAAAGGGTGGGGCAGTGACTTTAAACCACTCCCATTTTAAAAAATGGTGGACCCTTTAAAGTTGGATTGTGTTTTAAAGTCCATTACCTTTCGCAAGTCAATGTTAAAGTATCTGAAAAAAGTCAGCAAAAAGAGGAACAGACAGATAATGGCACAGAGGCGTCAAGCTACTAGAATGTTTGCTACCAAATTGATGCTGATCATGTCTTTCACGGTGATGTATTAAGGCCGATTCACACTGCAGCATTAACACAACGCAAAAGCTGAGTTAACACAACGTAAGTAATTCACACCATAACTTAACGCACTGCAAGCACGTAGCGCAAGGGTTGAACTCGATTCAACTCCTTACGGTAAACGTAGTGATCTGACCAATAGAATGATAGCATCCACATGTGGTGGGCAGGATATTTGGGGAGAGGTTTCATACTAAAAATGGCGCTCTAGCTGAATTTGATGACGCACTCATCTTTCATGTTCAAAAATACCCGTGCCTTTACAACAATAAGAGTCCTGACTTCAAGCTAGTTTGGAAGGAGAATGCTTGGGTGGAGATCTCCAAGTAACTCAAGAGTGATGGTACAGTTGGTACTTTATTATGATTAGTTCTTCACTGTACAAATAGATTATTATTATTATTATTGTAAGTATTATTGTTGTATGTATTGCTGCATAAAAAAGTAAATACATAGTAAATGACTATTATTGTGCGTTAATTGATGTATGAATGTAATGCATTTACATTTTTAGTGGAAACGGTCTCGAAGCGTTGGAAAATGTTGAGAAAACGTTATACTAAAAAACACAGAAAATTACCTACAGGTACTGGAGCTGATTCTGAAGAAAAAAGTGGGAGTTCTATCCTATGATGGATTTTTTGAAAGATTTTGTAAAACATAGACGGTATACATACATGTAGGCTATTAACTAATTGCTATTATTTGTGTTGATAATTATTAGGACAGCAAGTAATATGATATTTGAAGAAACTGTGCATGATAGTTCAGGGGAAGTTAAACTGTAACTGACATGATTTTTTGGGGTATTTTTTTATTGACCTAACAGATCATATGATCATAAAAATGCTGTATGGAAAGTTTTATTGTCTGGAAAAAATTATTCACAGAGATATGAGCCTTCAAAGTTGCTCATTTTGCTTCCTGCCATTTTACATCCTGTCAGGAGGTGTGGCTAAACGTGATGTCATACAAGGCTTATAATTGACTTTTACCATTGACTGCAATGTAACTTTAGCAGATAACATCTCTGTTAGATTTCATTTTATACCTTGTAGCTTTAATCCTGTGGTAAAAGTGATAGATTGTGCTTATAATTCATAATAGTCAGAGGATATCTGAGTCATTATGGCTGGTATAGCTTGCAACTCATAGCCTACTTTTGACAATCCATAATGAAGCTGTTCTTGTGTATTTTGTATATTCAATAGTTCATTCTTGTGTTC